GGATGTTGCAAAAAGGTATCCTCTTTCAATTTTACTTTCTGTTTCCTTTGTCCAGGAAAATATCCAGGAAAATATTTTCTCTAGCAACTGTTTCTTGATTTTAGGAGACCAAATTAAGAATTTAAGAAAAAAAATGAGCATAGAGCAATGAAATGGGAACCATTTCATCATTTAATTTTCATCTGCATGTAAGATATGTAGTGATTCAATTTTCCCCTTTGATCTTAAAATTTTAAACCAATCCATCTTTTTTTCTTTGTCTCTGAGTGACTGGACACTGATCACAGCTCAAAGGTCTTACAATTTTTAGCACTAGGAGAACTTTGAACCACAGTGTTGAAGGTAAGTTACTGTGTCAACTTACTGTGTCTCTCAAAGCTATAAAGCTGTGGCACATCCATCTCCTTGTAGTTCCTTCCCGGCAGATGTAGGAGAAGACTCTGTCGTTACCCGGATCAGGTGTACAAAATGACACTTTTTCAATCGTCTGGTCAATGACAAGGGACTGAAATAAACAGTTAAGTTCAAAAGGCAATTATGTATAGTCTTGCTATCTCCTACGGTAAAAAAATCATGCCAGCTTTGTAATCTGATGAATCAGCAACTGTACACATACCTAAAAAACAACTTACACTTTCAGTTGTGATAAAATAAAGTAAAACAATTTGACAGCACTGCAGATCATCCAAGACCCAGAGGAACTTCACAGCAAATGCTTTCAAGCCATTATAAAATGGCTCGTCAATGAGAGAAGTTTTTACTATACTACACAGCATCTTAAAACTGTCACAGAAATTTGAGAAATTGTTACTTCTCATTGGAAAATAATAGAAGTCATTGTTTACATAAAATGATGAAAACACTCCAGGAGATTTAGAAGAACTCAAATGTCATAGAATGAATGTCAATCATGAGCCGTGAATGAACTTTGAAGCTATTTACACTTGACCTTTGTCTTCACTAGCCTTACAACCAGCCTATGTTGTCATCTCTAACAAAAACTATAAGTGAGTTAAGCCTAATTTTGAAATCTAATAAAAACCTTCTGTGATATAATTTCCTCTGATTGTTGTTATTGTTCATAATAGTTTATGTTTAAACTGACATTAAAAAATATTTAGGAAACAGCATGAACATCGCACAAAAAAAAAAATAAAATTATGCAACAATTTCATGATTTGAACAGATGAGTAAGTTTACTGAAAAAAATTAATAAAATAAAAGTGCAGGATTAAAGTACTAAATCAAATCCGATTAATTTGTCTTTAATCTCGCACTGGCCTTCAAATATTAGACAATTCATTATTTATATCACAAGGTTCATTACTGAAATTTAGTTGTAATATACTATGAATAAATTCTCAGGAGAAACTTATGCTCAAATGTTCACAGTCAACATTGCATTCTTTGAAAGTAATCCAGAAGATTTCCTTTATGTAATAAATTTTCAGAAGGTTAGAAATGACTGAACTGACGTGCTTATTTTTAGGTGTGATGCCTTGAGAAGAGTTTAAGTTAATGTTTATATTTCCAGGTGTTTGTATTCTAAAGTGAGGCGAGGGAAAATAAGCAGTACTGTCTTAGAAATAAAAACTCTATAAGAAGTGCTGTATTTCCATTCAGTTTTAGGCACCTTGAGGAAAAACAACCTGGTGACTTAATTGGATTGAAAGGAATTCTACAAAGAATGAGGAAACGGTGTGATAAAAATGGAATAACATTACGACTCTGACAGAAATAAAAGAGTCCACAATTTTCCCTATGACACCAGATTGCTTAGCACAAGAGCAGACAGTTCTATCAAAAAGGAAAAGAAAAAAAAAAAAGGAGCAATGTCTTCCCGGTGGAATGAAAAAACACGATTTTTACTTCGGGTAAGAACTGTATGACAGAGCGTCGATTTTCCAATCAAAGATGCTGAATTTTCGAAAGCGCTGGTTAATTCGCAATTTCGAGGAAATAAATCAAACTGGATGACTCCGACTCGAATAAATTTCATGGTTAGGTATTTAAATATCAGTCTGTTTTGTGAAAATTGGTTTAATCATAATTCGTGATGAAAAAAAGGTTGGAGTAATTGTATTTCACGCATACGATGAGCACATGTCGAAACCAAGTTGGGTGGGTTGCATGTTGAAATGATCACTGAAAACACAAATTACACGAATTAAAAATCTACTGAACGACTACCAGAAGAGAATTCATCAATCCAACAATTTCTAAACACGATTTCAATGGTAAATATATGGTGCTCTTTTATTTGAATTCAGCTGCTTCGAGGTAAATATGCGATGTAGGGACTTATTGGAGAGGAAAGTATTGAGGTGGGTAATATTTACGGAAAAAAAACCAGAGGAATAATTACGCTTTGCGTGAAATATCACCCAAAGAGCGATCGAGAACAAATAAATGAACATTTCCAACAGAGACTATCTTCATATTGAAAGTCTATTTCAAGTACCTTCGGTCCTTTCGATAAAATTAATCCGTGATGAAGTAAAGAAATACAAAGACATCAATTTTCAATAAATACGAAAGCATTCCGTAAAATCCGCCTTCTATCAAAAAACAGGAACAACTTCCGACAGCCAGCTAATATTAGCTGATGAATTTTATCATTCAAGTCTAGATTTTTCCGCGCAGGTCGTTCAAAAAAGTTCGCGTCAAATACTTGCGATTGCGATCATTTGAAATCTTGGATTATTTAATAATGCGTATTGCTCATATATATATACATCGTGCCTCGTTGAAGCGAAAATCCGCCTAAGAACAGACTTAAAAATAAAAAGAGGGCACAAAAAAGACCGAAGGCGGACAATATCACAGACTCGCTGCCTCTCTTAAATATGCCACATAACATACGAATACTTGCGTAGTTACATCAGCGCGATCGAAAAAATTTAAAGCTTAAAAAATACTTGGGCTCTCTTACCTTGGTTTGTTCGTCCACGACTCGTACACAATCTGCCGTGACAAGCAACTGCATTCGCTTCTTTTTCCCTGTCCCGACCTGAAATAAACGAGTACAGATTGATACAACTGGCAGAATCGCTTAGTATAACCGAAGGAAACCGAATTCACGAATACGTTATTAAATTTCAAACAATTAAGACAAAAAGGGCTTCATCTGAAGACCTCGTTTAAGCTTTGTGGTATCTGTGAAAAATGGAAACAATGCAAAAAAACAACCGCTTACTTCTTTCATCTTTCGGAAAGCTTCTGCACAAACTTGTGTTCCTCTGGACTCGGTAACTTCGATCGATCCCACATACTAAAACAGTAAGTTTTCGAATTAATTGAGGATTTGAATATCGTCTTTCAACGCTCTCTTCCACAACGTTAAGTACCATGCAATCCTTAAAAGCGAAACAACGCAAATCTCATGAAAAATTCGCGATAAATTCTAACCTTGACTGGGAAACTAACGCCTCCATTCCGTACTTTGTAGCTATCGTTCTCCCAAATTTGTGGCCTTACACTTTCCGGTATGTGCCTTTTAGAACTCCTTAAACTTAAACTTCTCTTCAGCCTATTCATTCTAGTAAAATCATATAAAAATACAGACGAAATAAACAAAGTTACGACAAAAACTCACGCACAGTTTTCAAACTGCATCTAGAAATACGAAAATCTGCTTACGATTGACCGGGCAATTCACGCATGCTCAGTGGTTGCGTAATTTAGTTCAAAATGATTTTGCTAAATGTATAAACAGTTTTGTGTGCAGACAGGTTTAACACGGATTTTTTCGTTGTAATATTTACGGATTAGTACATATTTGTGTTTAGAATTACAGCATAACTTTTAGTTATTTATTAAAACTGGAAAACGATTGGAATGTGCCTGAGAACTATGTAGACTCTGCAAATCTGGACCGGCTGGTCATAATTTAGCTTTGTTCCTGACTTCCGGTTTGAGTCATCACGCGGCTGGTGGTACTCAAGTTCGAAACGACTTAGGGAGCTCGCTTTCAAATCAGACCTCACCCGCCTTTATCAGTACTAAAAATAAACAATAGATTTATCTGCCTCGGCAGTTCGCTCAGTGCGGCCAGAGTTTATTTTCTCTTTGGGTCACAGGACGTTGGAACGGAAATGCTTTTTCAAATAAATCACGTCCGACTAACGACTCCGAATTAGAAATGTTTGCTTCAAATAACTGAATTTCTTTAAATTTTCTAAGCAAGCTTCACGAGATTATCAATTTATTAATTCGTTATCTTTTTTATGTTTTTCCTGAGGATTGCTAGTACTTCCCGAGTCCCGTGATAGAACTTGTGAAGGTCGATGTGGTCAATCGTTGTTGAGATTATATTTTTTAAAATATAGTAAATTATATTTACGTTTTAACTCTTATTTACACACCATTGGCGTTTCTTTCACGTTCTTCTTGAAAAATAAAATTAAAAAACATCTCATTCTTCAATTTACATTGCTTGTACACTAAGCTGCACCATTGTAAGTATTATCCGCTGTTCAGGTTCATATATGCGTCTGCACACAGCCTATATTTGTCTCTAATTTGTCTCAAATTTTCACACGACTTCCAATTTTTCTCGTTTCTCTAACCTAAGCAGAAACCTCTAAACCACTTCGAAAATATTTTTTTTTCTTTTAAGGTTTAGGGAACTTCGCCATTCTGGACCGGGTTTTTCAAAATATGATTAACCTCACCCGAGGTTCGAGTAAATTTTCATGTTAGTTTTATAGCTCTGCAAAGGGTCTTGTCTTTTGTATTTTTTTCCCGTTAGTTTCGAGTCACATTGCGATAAATATCGACAAAACCTTAGCTCTTATACTCGTTCTTCTAAATTAAAAATTTTAGCCAAGGTTAACTTATAATCGTAGATTATAGTTAATCCCCCAGTCGAACAATCCGGCCTTGGAGTTTTCTTCGCTGTCGTTGGTTGTCGTAATCGGCCGGAAGAGTTCGGAAGTTACGATAGCCCGAAAGCCATTTCGTGCGCCTGCAGTTTATCAGCAGTAACTACAACAATTTCTCGGAAGCGACACGGAAAGCAAAGCGCAGCGTATTTTTCGGGAATTCCTAATTTATTAAGGACTGATTTTGCGTGTAGTGTTTTATCAACATCTGTTCCACACCGCCACTATCGAAGAATGCTGAAAGCTCAAACAAAGTTTTCTGAAAGAGCGTTTCTTGAACGTCGTTGATGTAAATAACCTTGAACTTAATTTCGTGGTTATCAGTTTATTGGCTGAACAAAGTTGTGTGTATTTCCGTACATATTATGTGTCAAATGATTTGGTAACGAGGAAAGCTAAAACTTGAAAGCAGTCATGGCGAGTTTTGATTCAACAGACCTGAACTGTAAGTATACACAGTGCAAAAAAAAAAATCGTGCTTTAATTGCATGATTCTCCAATTTATCTCGTTGATAAATGTTGCTTCAGCATTAGGTTAGTTTTAAATAGGACACCCGTTGAAATATACTTGACTTTTTAGGTTAATATAGCTTTTAAGAGTTAAGTTGTAAAATAACAAACTATATTATGATCAATTTATTTTGTTAAGGGATATTGATCAAAGCATTTTGTGATATCTCTCGTGATGTTGTTAGCATTAATTTTAGGCTAAAGTTTTGATCTAGGATTTCAAGTTGCGACCACACATAGAGCTCAGGTGGATACCAATTAACGGTTGAGGGTAGAATCAACATTTAGTTGGACAAAGCACGGACCCATTTAGCTCAAGTACTCTTTTTTGCATCTTTTTTTCGCCTTCTGAATGGGATGCTACTCCAGTCTAGCCTTACTTTGGCCAATGCTGGTACCTATTTATACTCTTGATTGGCGAGAAGTACTGTAACAATAAAGTCTTTTGCCAAAGAAACAATGTGGAAGGCACCACGACCTAATGACCTGTGCACTGGACTCCAGGCCAAGGGGTCTGGGTTCAAGACCTGATCAGGTCTTAGTGTTGTGTTCCTGGGCAAGACACTCTACTCTCCCTATGCCTTACTATACTGTATAAATGGATGCCGCCAAATTGTCAGGGAAGTTTGATGAAATGCTAGGGGATAACCTTGTGATGGACTAACATCACATCCAGGCGGGCAAATAGGCTTGAGTACAGATTTTGCTTTGCCTAGTGAAAATATAACAATCTAGCTTAGGCTAAATTGTGGACCTCTCCATCTTTAGTCTGTTCTGTTAATCATTAGAGCAACTTGTGTCTTACATTTGTTTTTGAAAATTTGAAGGTATTTTTGTTCATTTTTTTTTTTTTCAGTGGACCAGACAGTTACTAACTTACCCAGACACCCAATAAAAAGATTCGAACCAGCTTTGCGTAAATTTGAAGTGGCACTTCCAGCGGATCTTGCCAGACTTCAGCAACACAAGAAAAACATGGAAACGGCAAGACATCTGTTATCTTTTAGTTTTACAATCTGCAATTATGTGTAGAGGAAAGAAATAGTAAATAAAGATCCTGAAAAAGTGATTTGAAACCTTTAAGCCCAGTGAATGCCATCTGTTTGTGAAATTTCAGCCTTGGTAGTCAGTCAACATCGTAGCCTGTTACTGTTTATGAATCTCAGTTCCTGAGATGATCAAGATGCTGGCAAACATCTGAGTTTCATCTCAGTGATTGGGGGCAGAGGTTTTCATATAGAAATGAAGAAAAATTTTTGACAGGTTCTTAAAGAAAGATTGGCAGGGAGAGATCTTGTAAACATGGCCAACTTGGTTAATCAGATATTTATGAAGAATTTTTATGAAGAGTTCAGAAGTGGTTGGAAGCACAATAGTTACTATCTATTTGTAACAATTTGTCTTGTGTTCATAATTTTTAACTCAACTTTTTTGTCTTGCAGTTTTACAGTTCAGTAGCTTGGTTTGAACTGAATAAAGAACAAATAAATGCTGCAAGAACAGTTCAGGTATAATAGTTTTAGGAGTGCATGGGGAAAAAGATACATTTAACTTGTGATACTCTTACACAAATGGTGTAATCCAGTTTAGATATTATTACAATCAAGTTTCTTGTAAGCATACACCATCCGAAATAGAAAAGAGTCTGTTGGTAGAACTGTCCACATATGGGAATTATTCTATTAGGGAACACCAAAGAAAAATAAGGTGGATTTCTGCTTATGGAAAAGTATTATGTCAGACTCTTGTTAACACTTTAACTCCCTGACCAAGTTTGTCATTCTCCTTACTGTCAACCATACAATTCTTATAATGTTAGTTCAGAGAATTTAGTATTGGATCGACTAATTATCCCCAACTTGATAGTTTTCTTTATTCTCATCACTTGTCTGGTTGATATTGTATTGATATTGTAAGGAAAATTCTGTCTTGGTCACTCATGGGAGTTGAAAGGTTAATGTCAAATAAATGGTTAGCTTGTTTTCCCCAATGCTTTTACCCCAATTCTTGAAAAGAAATATCATTTGATATTAGTTTGGAAATAGTACATTAGTTAAAGTCTTGAGTTTTGTATCCAAACATTTACACTTAACCATGTCTGATTTTTTTTTTAACCCTTTTAAACCCCAATAGAGACCAACATCTAATTTCTCCTCACAGTAATACTGCTAAATCATTCACTAAGATCATGAGAATGATGGAAATGATCACCAACTTAAGAAGCTCTCTATTGTTAAACAAGTTCTCCTTATCAGCACCATAGGAAATGTGTGGAGAACAGTATAAGGAATGTATATTCAATATATATATATATATACAGATAGGAAGTCTGTGTTTTAGTTAGTAGAAGTAGAGCGTGATATTATTGAGTTAGGGAAAAAACAGAGACTACGCTTTCATCTCAACAAGCCTGTTTTGTGATTAAGTCACTCTTCAGGGGATTCTATACGTACATGCATATATATATATATATATATATATATATATATATATATATATATACATGTTGCGATAGGGGAAAAACAGAGAGACTATGCTTTCATCCCTACAAGCCTGTTTCATGATTGCTCATTCATCAAGGGATTTGATAAATAAAGTCCCCTGATGAGTGAGCAATCACAAAACAGGCTTGTAGGGATGAAAGCATAGTCTCTCTGTTTTTCCCCTATCGCAACACTCTACTTCTACATATTGAGCACTGTAAACAGAAAAAATCAGTACACAGACTTCCTATATATATACATGTATGTACTGATGTTGAGGGTTAATGTGTGTTGAATTTACAGCAATTGAAATCCCACTTGAAAGAAATGGAAAAAATACGTAAACAGGTACAGGTATCAGATATTCCTGAGTTTGACCAGCGAATCAAGCCGCTACAGGAGGAAATCTTGGCTGGAGTCAGTTCTTTTAGAGAGGTGCAACAGATGTATGCTCGGGAAAAACAGGACAAGGAACCTAAGAGGATGCCTTTTGCCAGATACAAAGATACTTGTAAGTATATCATGATATTATGAGCAGCTAGTGTTTCTTTAAAAATACCAGAACAGAACTATTCAGTGAGTTATTTCTGAGGATTTGTCATTAATAGTTGTGACTAAGTACATAGCGAGATCTCAAAAGGTTTTTGAAAGGGGTGTAGGTGATCTGAGAATCCTAAGATAGAGGAGATGAGGTGGGTTGGGCCCTCCTGTGGGTGCCACCACAAGAGACAAAGACTGCAAGATTTGAGCTTGCAAGAAAAGTGGGACGTAACAGGCAGAGGTCTGGTAGTTTCATGCAGGACCCCTGCAAGTCCAGTGCCCTGTCTTGGCTGTAAGTGCAATCAGGATAGCAAAAGAATACCTGAAATTTCAAGCAATGAATACCTGAAATTTCTGGCATCAAGTTCTGGTAGAAAGGGGTGATATAAACCAACTGACCTTGGTATGGTAGTAGAATTATGATTTCAAGTCATTTGATAAAATTACTGGGATAATCACATGTAGCTGAAAGAGTTCCTAAATCGCAAAAAAGAGCTAGGCCTTGAGGATTCTCTTTAGCACTCAATGGATCTGCATTAACCTTTTGATCCCCTAAGAGTGACCAGCATCTAATTTCTTCCTTCAGCATCATCCTTGAATCTCACATTAAGAAGCTCTTGACTGTTCAACAAATTCTCCCTTTCAGCACCTTAGGAAATTTATAGGGAACAGTATGGAGAGTATGCAAAATGATGTTAAGTTGTAAAGGGTTAATAAAAGAGTGCAATTTTGTTTATTTTTTTTATAAATTTTTAAATTTTTTTAGCATTACCACCGGTAACCACCACAGAACCAGATGGCAACTCTCAAAAGCTTCAGACCTTGGTTGTGGTAGACAAAGACGCAGTCGTATCCTGGGACTCACTGAGAGCCGTAAGTTGTTGTTGTTGTTGTTTTTTTTTTATCATCTTCCCAGAACTGATTAAAAATGAATTTCTCCTCACAATATCAGTACATTTTCCAACAGGAAGGTAATGAGAAGAAATAAAATTATCAGCCAGAGGGTAAATATGATTTTATTCCAAACCTCTGATGCAAGATTGTGGGAAATACATGGCAAACAGTGTTAAGAATTTATATTCGGATCTAGAGAGTGAATAATTAACCTCTTTTGACCTGATTATTAAATTTTTCAGACTAGTCAATTTCAAGAGTAGTATCCTTTTCAGCTGTTGCTTGGTCTCGTCACGCAACGAGGTGAGAGCGCGTTGCGTGACAAAACCAAAAAACGGCTGCTAAGAAAAATATTTCAAAGGGTATATCATTCTCTTCTTTTTTTTAACTTTGCAGGGTTTAATGGAACTGAATGATCTCATCCATGATTTCTCAACTATCGTTCATGTGAGTACTATAATAGTTTTCTATTATAAAAATTTTACTGCTGCAGATGGATCTCCACATCATACCACAAGACGTTCTGGTGGCAGATGTTTTTTTAGAAGAAGTGAACACTCGATTTCAAAAACGTTGACACGTAGAAAGCGCTTACAATAAACGGTGAGACCCTATGGCTTCATGGGTCAGGTGTACGTAATATCCACCATCAGTTTTGCTTTATGGACGATGGAAGCTATCTGAAAGAAAAAGAAGCTCTTCCTGACAGAAAAGGATTATCGTAGAAAAAAAAAGTTCACATGAAAAACGGGAAAATAGAATCACTGATTATGTATCTGTGCGATGATTTCTCTGAAAGCCGTTTGGTCTAGTCGTTCACGGATCACACTTTTTAGATGTCAACGTTTTAATAATTGGGTGTTTACCATGGTTTGCGATTTTAAATTATTCATTTGTGAACTTTAGGAGCAACAAGACACAATCGACTCCATCGAAGGCAACATAGAGAGTGCACAAGTTCATGTGGAGGAAGGCACCAGAGCGTTGGGAAAGGTAGGTGAACATCAAGGGCGTGGCATAGAAAATTACAGATATCTGCTTTTTTGATTCGTTGGTCAAATCTGAACAACAACCAATTACAGGTTACTCGGGATATTGGAAAATTACGTCATCGGTATGGAACTTTTATGACTTAACGTGCGTCTATCGTGAAGAAGAAGGAATATCGTGTACCGGAAGGAATAAAGAGAGATAAGTTGTGCGGATGCTACTGTCGTAAATGATCTCGCGACGTACAATCACACCGGTTTACGTTTTCGGTTTGATTATATAATTTATAATTATACTCCCTTTACTGGATTTCACAAGGTTTTTTCTCTAAGGTTACAATAAAACTATTGACGTATTGCACTAAACCTACCACTGTTGATGGAACGTCATCTTCCATTACCGATCTATGTCACTCTCTGTTTACATTCTACATTCACTTGCCAATAATTTCAACACTACTTAACATAGCATGTTTTTTTTTTTTTCTTTTTCACTTTTTCAGGCCAGCAAACTCAAAGCAGTTACCTATCCGCTGATTGGCGCGGCAGTGGGAGGGGTGTGTGGGGGACCTTTGGGATTAGCCATAGGATTAAAGGCCGGAGCAGCCATAGCCCTTGGGGGAGGAGTGTTGGGATATTTTGGTGGAAGATACTTCAAGAAAAAACAAGAAGAAGCTACTGATATCCAGCTTGATAACTTGAGTTCCAGCAGAGAAGTAAAAAAGTATCGGTGAAGTTTTCAAAGAGGAACTTTTGATACTCGAGGCGGAATATGTTTTGTTGTAGATGGCTGTGAGACAGTTTTCGGCGCAGTAGTTTTTTGGTTTTTTCAGTGTTCTCTTTTTTAACTGTTCTCAGCGTCAATGTACTGGTAGTGAGCGAGAGGTTAGCGATCAGGGAACATAAACACTACAAGATGACTTTAATTAGTCATATTTTTGAGGCAAAGCTTCAAAACGCATTGTTTTGAACTCATATGAAAACGTAGAGGGAATTTTAGTCAGTCACGTACATCATGAATTGAAGAATTATTTAACAACAGTGTAAACAAATACAGCATTAGATGCATTGCTAAGAATTAGGTCTAACGAAGGTCCCTTATGGTAACGAGAACGGATGCGATTTATTGGGAGTCATCTGTGAGAATAAAAATAGTAAGTCTAGAATTTTTGTCACTAAATAAACGATAGGTTACAGAGACCGGTGCTAAAAATGAAAAGCAGAATTTTTTTCTTTATCATTTCGCATACCTGGCGCAACCAGTTCAAATTTTTCTCCATGATTACAGATCTTATTCCACTTTTATGTGGATTTCTGGCAAGGAATTAACCACGCACGCATATATTTACTCTAGCTTCCGTCTTGCTTACAAATAGTTTATAATCTCTATTTTCAAGATTTCTTTTTCTTGGGAATGTGAATTGGTTGTAATCTGCTTGGTTTGTAATTACAGTAGGGTGACACAGGACACCCAACAATCAACACATGATTGTCTTTTAGCCACAATCGCCACAAACGTTTATGGAAACCCCTTGGATCTAAATCCCATATTTTCAAACAGTTCGCTACGTTTGACCACGTGGTGAAGTCGTTAATGCTGTCCATTCTTATATAAAACACATAGATCTTGTTCTTCGTCAAAGGGATAAAATCGTTTGGGTTTGTGCATGGAGTTCTTGAGTGATCTAAGACTACAGCTTCTCTGAAAAAAATTAAGAAGAGAAAAAAAGTAAAATAATCAAATTATCGCCGAAGTAGAAGAGGTAGTGTGTCATAACTTGCGCGCTGGACGAGAAGTCTGGGCTCGAGATTTGGCCAGGTTATTATGTTGAGTTCTTTGACAAAAAAGAACAAAACCCTGCTTTGGTCGGTAGTGTCCATGGATACCTACAAAATGCAATGCACTGGCATACCCTCCAGGGTGACGAGGAGAAGTAACACTCCTAATACAGCGGTATTCCTAGACGTTTCATACCACAGATACGAGATAAACTCCAGCTGGTTGGGTTTGGACCTAACTTTATACGTACATATCATTACTTCATGTTATTTAAAACCCAAGATTGCGCCAGACTTATTTTTTTGCTTTGTGATCATTTGTCTAGAAAACTGGCACCAACTTGTCAACTGGTCACACCCTAGGTTAAACCAATCGTTTGTTGAGGCGCAAGCTTTTTACCGTGCTTTACTACGTGATTTAATATTTTTTTTAGTTCCCTTAAGCGCCTTGCGTAAACTATCTTTTTCCTGATTGGCCGATGTGATAACTTTGGCTAAGGCAAATATCACAACCAGCCAATGAGAGCTCGATAGATGTGAACAGCGGGTAAAGCGCGGGTAAAACGCTTTTTCTCTGGCTTTGAATCTAATTGGTGGAGAGGTTTGCGGGAATATGCCCGACCAAAGACAGTTCAAATCCAACGCAATCCCAAATTTATTTCAGCAATAAATTGCAGTGATTTTTACCTAAGTAACCGCTGTAGCTCCTTTTCATATTTCTCCTTGTACATGATGTCCACGTTCAACATTACGTTTGGCTCAGTATTCAGCGCACGCGCAGAGAAGTAAGTCCTCTGCATGTATGGATTCACATTCAGTCCTCTGGCCCCAAAATGATAGGTGCGAGAGATGTCCGGTATAATGCACTCTCGGCCCTTTCTCACCTGCGGGCTCCTTACCCACATGTCCCAGTCCCACATCACGTTGGGACCAGGCCACTGAGGTTCAAGTTCCTCTTTGTACAGTTTTCGCTCCAGAACCCTAAAAATAAAATCAAGGACAGATTTTTGCTTTTAGTGCTCTGATTGTAACTACTGCGCACACACGTAGTCACTTTTGCGATCAAGTCACTTTTCCGAATGTAAGTAAGTAACAATGGAATAGAGCCAATCAGCGTTCAAAGATTGCAAAAGTTCGGACCCTCGCGAAGCAGCGATGATTTACCGATAAATCTCGATGACAAACAAACTTCTACCAAGTTGCCTTGTGCTCTTCAAACACGAGCAAAGCAGCCTGAAGACTGAGCGGTTCTTGGCGAGCGGTTCTTGGTTAATAGACCCGTACTGGGTTAATATTTTTCTGTTGATTGAAATGGTCGAAAAACTGTAACATGCACTTTAACGAAGATCTCCCAGAGACATCACTTGTTGCTTAGTTTGCTTTAACTGTGCTGCGTTCACTTTGAAAAAGATAGAAGATTAATTTAAGTCAACTCGTGCAAGTAGACAAAAGCTTTCCAACGCGTAGTCGCCCGCGTGATAGCGATTTGTGGTGAGTGGTACTGCGTGATTGTTAGTGATAGGGCGCACTGGTCCGCAATAGTGTTACTGGTCATGTGTAATCGTGCGAACAGTGTGTTCTGGTAAGTGGTAGTGCGTGATAGCAATTTATGGTGCGTGGTAATGCGTGATTGTGAACAAAAGTGCGTATTAGTCTGTGATAGTGTTATTTGTAATGTGTGATTGTACGTGATAGCGTGAGACTAACCATAATAGTAAGTGATTGTAACCACTAAAGCCAGCCCTGTTCCGTAACTGGACATTGAGCCCGTCGACTAAAATTTGAAAAAATACACCTGACTGTATAATGTTTACCATCCAAGTCCTGGCATTGTCTCAACTCTGTAGGTCATGGCTGGATCTTTAACTGCATGTGTATAACCCTGATAAAGACAAATAGCTATCACTTGTAGGTTAGCCATAATAACTACAGACGTCCACGATATCTAATTTTCATAATTATTAAGGTACTCATCTACATTGATAACGAAGCTGCAATTTATAAGTTACTGGGGCTGATTAAGAGGAGTTAACTGATTCCTTGTTAGCTTCTGTCATTATTAAAGCTGTCACCCTTTTTTTCCCTTTGACTTGAAAGCAAGCTCTCACTTGCGTTATAGGATGAGTGATAAAAATCGCGAGTTTCGTGCCGACGAACTAAGCGAGCGTGTTAGAGGTCTGCGGTGAGTCTCGTAGAGCCCTCGTTGGCTCTCCTCGCTCGCCTACTCGAAGCCCAAGGTTTTTGCCTCTGTTTCCGTTGTGCCAATGAAAACCTACTTACAGGCTTTTTTCCTTTACTTTCTCCTCAGCCTTTCTCTTTAATTTCATTTCTCCTTTCCCCCTTTTTCTTTAAATCCCGTCATTTTCCTGTCCTCTTTTCTCCTACTTCTTCCAACTCTACGCGTCAGCAATTGATCCGGCGTTTACTCATCTTTCATTCTTGACTTTAATTCCTTTCGTATTTAGGTTTTAAAACAGTAGATGGTTTGCGCTCAGGGGTAACATGTAATAGTGTAGTCTGATCCTCCGGGTGAGTGTAGTTCTAGGGACAGTTGTCGGTAGTGGTGACTGACGTTTCGACAATAACCTGAGAGGAAGTCATCATCAGAGTCAACTGAATAGCTGTTGTCAGTCGAATGTTCTAAGTCCGGTTCGGATAAACTGATTGGCTAGTTTTGCCGTGATGTTATTGGCTAAAAGACTCTGTAAATGGCGTATGTCGGTCGTGATTGGTCGGACTCGATCCGTCGGTAAAGTTTGGTCGTTCTGTTCGGTTCGTTTGTAATGTTAATGTCTTGAATGATTCTTTTTGTAAAGTGTTGTATGGTACCTGGACTTAGAAAATTCGACTGACAGCATCTATTCACCTGACTTTGATGACGTCTTCCTCTCAGGTTGTCTAAACGTCAGTCACCACTCCTGATAACAGTCCTTCTCAGGACTATACTCATCCGGACGATCAAACTTCACCATTTGTTTGTTAACCTTTGGCCACACACACAAATTAATGTGATATCGGAGTTATTTACCTGATCATTCCAAGCTGATATACAGTAAAGACTGTCATCGTTTTCCAAGACCGGGAGTAACTGATTGAAAAATGTGAGAATGTCTGGAGATACATCAAGATCTTCCTCGAGGATGATCACAACGCTAGCATCAGCATGACGAGCAAAAGAGGCCGTAAGTGATCTTTTGTAATGCTGAGGAAAAGAATGAAGGTGAAACTTGAGGGAGCGCTTGGACGTGTGGGATTCTAACTCTCTCATGTGCGTGGATGACTTTTTCGAGGAGCAAAGTCGCTCAGAGAAGGGCACCATCTTCAATTAATCAAGAATTCTATTACCAAACCTACAGTGATCAAATTCCATAAAGCCAAGCGCGGGAAAATGCACGTGACCACATCGGGATTGACTTCACCTTTGCATCTGATTGGTTGAGAAGGCGGCAAAAGCTCTTTTAAACCAATCATAAAGCTATGCTTTGTACCTGCGAGATCCTTGCTCTTCGTTCACTGACTCCCGCTTGTTGATCGACATTCAGCCCATACAAACCAGCAAGTAAAGCAGGTTCCTCGAAAAATCCATCAATAAACACTGTCACCATGGTATGATTCAACCCTTGGACCTGTCGTAACGTCTTAAGCATTCTGTACAGGTAATAAGGGCGGTTACTAGCCATGATCAGCAGTGGAAGGTTGATTCGGCTGCCATCCGGTGGTAGGGGCGGCTCAAAAGCTAACGGTTCTGGATTCTCGCCTATGAAAGAAAACAAAAGAAAAAACTTCTTTCGAGGCGGAAACGTGATGCTGAGGGACTGGTCATTAATCACCATCGGGGGAAGGGGGGGAAGGGGTGGTTGGAGGATTTTGGTTGTGTTACAATGAAATTAACTTGATCCTACCCATAAGGCTTTGTAATATTCTAACGATCCCCTCTCATTGGCAGTTATAATTTTTATGTCCCTCCCCCCCCTCCATGGGGATTGCGTGAAAATATTGATACAAAAAAATCTATGCTAGTAATTATTCTTAATGTATGCAACAGAATTTGAAGAATTGTAGTCAACAACAAGAATTACAGCAATCAGTTCAATTCTGCCAATCACTGATTAAGTTCACAGTAACCATAGATGAGGAAGTATTTGAATGAAATTCACTGCTCTTTTCTTGTAATTGGATTAGTCACTTTCATGTACGTGTTTCTGGTAATCAGTCTTCGCAGTGTAGACCCTTACATTTACAAATTTTTTCGTAGCCATCAAACTTATCGCAAAACTCTTTCCTTCGGCGGTTTTCATCATTTTTAATCCATTGGCAATCCACGGTACTTTGCTCTGAGATCGGAACTGTAGTGTGGATTCTGACAGGAGTCGCCCACTCATCGTTACTCGGTGATTGCTGATATCCTTCAGCGTACACCATGTTTTTATTGTTTACACGTTGTGTAACGAAAGCCCACATATCACGCCATTGTAGCTGTTGTATGTAGCTGCTACCACGGCTTTGGAGGTAGCTCCGAGCGGATGTCAACAGACTTATTGTGGCTTCGTCCTGTTGAGAAATATTTGAAAGAGATACTTTCTTTTTTTTAATAATGGCGATAGGACCGAGTGGAGGTAAATTCGATCTGTAATCACATGGGTGATTAACAAAATCGAATGACCACGAAGTGGGAGTCCGAGTTGTTAATCACGAGTATGATTACAGACAGATTTGGTCCACTTACACTGGCATGACGCGTCAATTGTCCCTTTAAATGTCCTGTTACACTGTCCAACCACAAGCATGATGCGTACACTGTCATATTAGTGCTCAAATCGGGCTGGTGATAGCCAATCATGTTCGAGATTTCGTTTTGATTACACATAGAATCACCTCGATTTTTTCACTCACATCGATGAACAAATTGATAAGAAGAAAGTATCTGTGGTTACGCTAAGAAATACCTTAACTGTCAGACAGAGTATTCGTCCATCTGGCAGACCACTGATGAATTCCATCATTTCTGTAGATTCCCGGTTTGTTGAATACGTATCAAATCTCCTCCGAGCTGTAACCGCTCCAGTGTTTTGATTAAGAACCACAACGTTCATTCCAAGACGATTCAGCTCTTGATAAACCTCAAATGAAAAGAGCACTCAGTTACGTCGAGGTAGGTCGAACCCTCTACACCCTGATATCATGATCAGTATGCACATTCTCCATAATGCTCTTTTTACTCTTCCTAAGATGCTAACAAGGAGAATTTTGCTATTTATCAAGAGCCTCTTTAGTTGGTGATTATTTCCTTCATTCTCGTGACCATAATGTACGATTTAGGGATGGTGTTGTCAGAGGAAATTAGATATTAGTCTCTCTTTGGGGTTGAAGAGTTGAACAATTCAAAGTTACACAGAAAGGCATTCTTGACTGAAAAACTTAGTTTTTGTAATTTTTGTGGTAACCGATGCCTCAGCTGCTTGTGAAGCGTGCATGTTGTGACGTCATTTATGCACAGCCAGTTTACTGGGTTATTTTCAAGATGGTGGCACGATGGAGAGGCACTGACGATTAATTGGTGCCCAGGCCTTTCATGAGGAGTAACACTGATGGGAGAAAAGTATCTTGCACAATGGTCAAGCCAAAGCTTGAGCTCAGACTCTTCAATCTGGATCCCGGCACGCTGACTACTTAGCCGCTAAGAGATATGGCGGCGTCAAGGGTTGCTCTGAAGGTGCGCCGTCCTACCAAGCCTCGCTTTCACGTCTTCGAAACCAAGCCGTTCCGCGTGGCCGCCATGTATGAATATGGCTTAGGCCTATATTCCCTGACACAGTAGCAACATTCTCTTCATGTGAGTCGTAGCATTTGATTCAAAAAGTGGTTATAACCGTTAAAAAAGAGAACCATTGTCACTTACTTACTTACCAGTTTCCAATACGTACTTACTATTTTTCCATTCACTACCACAGAGGCGTTTTCTTTGCTGGAGTAAACTTCTATATCTAAATATCCTATGCATCAAACAAGAACCACACGACAGTTTTATTTAGAAAAGGAGGTACGTTCATAGACGATACACGCTATTCTAGCGGGAGACTGCTGACTGGTTGGGACTTATCTCAGGAATGTTTACCCAATGAAACACTAAGCTTTTCATGGATATAATTCTTCTTCATTTTCATCAAGTAACTCATACCGTTTGGCCAACTAAAAATTTTGTGCAAGGCGTTCCCTATGAAGAAAGGACTGAGAATAGTGTCTCTTGCTATAAACAGGCTGACAAAGAATCATCAGTAGTTTAAGATTGATAGAAATTTCCGTTGCTTTGTCTCTGGTACCCACTCACAGTACACCCTTAAGTGGAAAGAGGGATTGTGAAAGAAGTGTTTTTTTCCCAAGAAGACAACATAATAATCCATCCCAGATTTCAACCCTAAACCGCTAGATCATGAGCTAAACTTGGCGACTTTTAAGAGACTTGCTCGTGATAGATGGTGCTTTTTCCAGTTTTAACATTTGTATAAAATTTCCACCGAACTTTGACACAGCAAATGTGCACAATTATGCACACAATATATATTTAAAACACGACCTCCCACAGAAATGCCTTTTACCAGCTATAGAAAATATCTAAACATTAAGGAGGCGACTAACTTATTTAAAATTATCCAAACCCAGAGAGACTTACCTTTATTAGTGGTCTCTTCCATTTTACTTCCGGAAACATCACGATCTCGAAGAGATATTCGGCCAAGATTTTTCCGATCGATGAAATTTTTTTCACTTTCGCTGTTCATTTTACGCGTCTCCAGTAGAAATATTATATTTGCAAGAAAGGTAGTACATACTGCTGCGCACAATAACACTCGAATGAGAGATGCGATTGTTAGCTTGCCCCTAATTCTGAAAACAACTCCCAGCAGGGATGCCTGTCGAGTAAAATTTGAGACTAATTTTGCCATGTTTTTCTTCATTGTTGCTTTGCTGATTTGCCTGCGAAGTGATTGTGCATAATTTTGTAGACAAAGCCAACAGCCGACACAATTTGCATTCATCGATGACGTGAAGACACAAAATAAGAAAAAATTTTTTCGATTTCGTTTGCTGTAGCTTGGGAACCATCCCAGAAAATGAATGCAAAAGAAGGCTCACCGAACTCCACTGCCGAAAAGATCAATCACTGTTATTATTATTCTATCATTTTATGTATTAAACTGTGCAGGTAACGTTTTAAGCGCTGTTTTGAGTTCTCACCTTTTTCAAGGTTGTTAAAATGTTTTTTTCCCTCCTCCCCAAACTCCAAAAAAAAAAAATTATTGACAGATGTCAATGAAAAGCCCTCGGTCTCCGAGTTAAAAAACTCATCGCCAAATCTCTCAAGAAATGTGGTAAGTTAACTGGATAAGGATCATAGTGATCTTTTGTTATTGAAAAATGTTCTTAAATAGTGCAATAGAAAATTAGAAATAAAAGAAAAAAGCACCATAAGTTAAAAAGGACAATCAGTTTTTATCATAAAGTTATAAAAGAAATAGTGCAAACAAGGTATTTGAATTGAAGTCTTAACATGTTTTATTCTTGAGGTTCAATTTCTTGTTAAGCACAAATCTGAAAAAAAATATACGGTTATCTTCTCGATCATTTACTGTTCTGGATCCATTCTCAAGTGATTTAAGCATTTCAAATAATTTTCATGTGAGTGTTAAAAATTTTCCAAAACTGCTCGTGCTTCATTTTCTATCCAGGCAACGCGACTGGTTTAAAAAAAAACTGCGGCATGTCATCCACTGAACCGATCACACGCAAAGCTAAAACCATTCACAACTTGATCACGTGGAAGATCACGTGGAAGTTTCGTCCGCCTTGGTATCTCCAGATACCTATTCACTGAATAACATCGATATTGAACGTAGAAATTGCTTTATACTGCGACGGATATTAAGATACATTTACATCGATGTGTATTTGATTCCGTCCTTGATACACTCAGCTGAAGGTAAAATCTCAAACTCCAACCTTATTTGGCAAAGAAATTATTATCGGGTGGTCTCGTTTCCTTGTTTGGCATATAAATAGCTTCAATATTAGTCGGCTTGTGACTGCAATAAGGTGACGCTGGACATCCAACATATAAAACATGATTGCCTTTAATCCACATCCTCCACAGACTTTTATGAAATCCACGAGCCTCCAAGTCCCAGATTCTAAAACATCTAGCAACGTTTATCCATGTGGTATAGTCTTTTGGATGCTCCATCCTGATGTAAAACACGTATATCTTGTCTTTAGTGTCAGGTATGAAGTCTTTAGGGTTTGTACAAGGTGTCCTTGAGTGATCAAGAACTTCAGCTTGGCTGGCGAGATAAAAGAAAAGAGTTGATCTAAAGCAAAATAAGGTTGTCTTTCCCACAAGTGTATAGAAATTTTTCAAATTGAGTATTCGAAGGTAATTTAGGATTGTGTGGGTTTTCATCTACCTCGTTCTTTGATTTGCTTAAAAACTCGCGCGACCCGCCAATCGGATAATGACTTAAAACCGGCAGAAAGTTTGCTTGTGTCTTCTTTGGGTCTCGTTGGGTCTTTGAGATACTTCCCTTTGTTCTGCTTGGAAAGTGAAATGGTGGTGGTTATTTGAATTGCCAACTGACTTTTCGTCAGGTCAGGCCGCGCAGGAAAATGTTCGTCTCTCGCTAGCTTGGTCCGCACGTCAGATCATGCTTTCCCGTCATGCTCACCCCTCAGTCCATTAGTAGATGGCATTTACCTCAGTAATCGATTTATCTCCTTCTCATAGTTGTCTTTGTACATGAGATCTGCGTTGATCCTAACACCGATTTCCTTATTAAGCGCATGTCTTTTAAAATAAGCTTCGTTCATAGCTGGGTCCACGTTTAGACCTTTGGCCCCAAAATGGTAGGTGCGAGAGATGTCCGGTATGATGCACTCTCGGCCCTTCCTCTGCGTCGGCGTCCTCATCCACATGTCCCAATCCCAGAATACATCGGGAGCAGGCCATTTGGATTCAAGTTCTCCTTTGTACAGTTTGCGACTCAATACCCTGTAAGAAAATTAAAAAGTCTAAAAATTGATAAAAGAAATCCTAATTCATTTTCATAGAAGGAGAACAGGAGAAGTCTTTCGATGGCACCCATCGTCCCTTCCTCCCCTCTCCCCACGGGATTTACTATTCTCCTTCCCTCGGGAGCTCGTTTCTCGATTTGGTGTTAACAAATAATTTATCGCTTCATTGCGTGTCAAAAAATGAAAGCGCTCGGCTAAGGAGGCTAAACCAGGCCCAATTTCCAGCTAGGTCGCGATTAGTTTTATCGTTTGATATCTTGCTTAAAGGGTGCTTGGTTCGAGATTACAAGACTGATCTCACAGCTCAGTGAAGCAAACCCAGTCACTGATCCTTGATCCTTCCAATGCTCAAATGGTACTCACCACCCAAGGCCAGGCATAGTTTCAATCCTGTACGTCATTGATGGGTCATGAACGGTGTACTCATAGCCCTGCGTAACAGCGAAAAATTGATGCAAAGATCTTTGTATATCTTCTTTACATCAACTTGTTTTCTATTTTTATGTCTACCGAAGCCCTGTGCACCTTTAAGCAAGTTATTTCATCATCACTTCTTGAATGACACATTCGGTTTCGTCGTTTAAATGGCTTTTAAAAGTAATGGCTTTAAAAATGTATTTTCATAATCAGGTGTAACCATTCCAAAATCTTTCCGCCTCATTTAAAAGAGGCGTTCCCATCCCCCGTTCACAAATTCTTTTTCCTTTGCGGCCATTCTTTAGGATGTTAAGCGACGCCACAGATTCTTTCAGGGGAAGATCGCGTGACGCTCCATTATAAGCCTCAGAAGAGACAACAAAAAGGATATTTTTGTAATCGTTGCCATAGCGATATGCTTACGCATGTCAATATGAACAAACACCGCACCTCTTTTATTAGTACCCCCCTTCCAATTTAACTTAACTAAATCCACAGATATCACTATTGAACTGTGCATTTTTCGCTTTTCAAACCTGATCGTTCCAAGCTGATATACAATAAACACTTTCGTCGTTCTCATAGACCGGGAGAAGCTGTTTAAAGTAGCTAAGAATGTCCACAGACACGTCAAGATCTTCCTCAAGAATAACCAGGAAATTGGCGTCGGGGAAATTTTCAAAGGAGGTTGTTATGGACTTCTTGTAATGCTGAATACGAAGTAAGTAAAAACAAAACGGTTCAGATAAAAATAAGCTATACATGGTGCGATGAGAATGGGTGCGTTCACGAAGATATCGCTAAGGTCCACTCCGTTGCGCACAAGTTTCCGCACGAATAGCGCGATTTTACAGACAAGGGTTTGGAGAATACACTTAAAGGCCTCACGCCCCAACAAGTGCCCGAAGATACAAGTTGAGGTTCGCGTCTTACCGTCTCTATTCTTGCATTTGGATTAGCCATGGAGGGCATAAGATAGAGAGGTGTGCGCAGTATAAAACACGCGTGGAATCACGAGACTGGCCTTCCCTTGAGGGCTAGAAAGGGAGGGACAAACGCACAGTCAACCATGTTGCTTTCCCTGCGTGTGGAACACTATGCGAGGGCACCAGTCTGAGAGTGGTTGATGATGGATAAAGCTGAGGGGGTGGGGGGTCCTCCCATGCACGTCATACTGCGTAAATGGGTGTTATGAATTCAAAGTTAATATAGAGATCTGCATCAAGGAAACACCTAAATTATCTTTGAATAATTCAGCATAGTCATCCCCATAGAAATAAACACAATTGAATATAAAACAAGGTTTGAAAACTCGGCCTCGGCTCGACCTTTGCTTACCTGGCAAATCCTTGAGTTCCTTTTACTGATACCTTCATGTCGATCTACCTTCAGACCAAACACCTGTGCAACAGAGGCGGGCTCTTCATAGAAGCCGTCAATAAATACGGTTACCATGGTAGGATTCAGCCCCTGGACTTTTCGCAGGGTCTTGAGCATTCTGAATAAGTAGTGGGGGCGATTACCAGCCATAACCAACACTGGCAGATCAAGACGACTGCCATCTTCAAGAGGAGGTGGGTGGAAATCGATTGATTCCGGATCGTTGCCTTAAAGTAGATTATCAAAGAGGTACTGTCATTTCGAATCGAAGCTCAACGATCTAGTTACGCGACGTGGAGTAAGAGTGTGACAGGACGCGCAATCGCTTCGACTGGATTACTGGCAGTATCGGTTTATAGCCTCACGGATAAACGGCTTTTGTGATGTCTTCTCTCTTGTGTGCGAGCGCCTCGGTAAACTTAAGCAAGACTGCCGCAACTATTGTCAAACGTGCTTTTTTTCGTTCAATCACTTTAATTCCTTTTTTAAAAAGGAAAAGTCATTAATTTGGAAAAACGCAGTCTCAACATTTAGTTTCCCGAGTGCTTCCCTCCACTCAAGAGTATAAATAAATACTTAAACTTGAATGGAATACTCACAGTGGCAAACCCGTCCATATCCTTCAAATTTCTGGCAGAATTCTGCTCTACGACGCCCTGCATCGTTTTGTTCCCAGTTGCATTCAGTGGACATGCCTGTCTCCCGCTTCAGATATGCTCGAATTGTGACATCATTTCCCCAGCTGTCAAAATCTGGAGACCTCTGATGGCTTTCCACAGATGTTTTCCTCTGATTGGTAGCCTGTTGGTATATAAACGCCCACATATCCCGCCAGCCAAGGACATTTACATAACGGCTCCCTAACTTCTCAATGTAGCTTCGAACGTCACCATCTAAGTTGCTCGCAGCTTCATCCTTA